AAAAAAAAAAAAAAAGAAAAGAAATTGCTCTTGAGCACGCTTTCCTAAAAATCAGCCATTATAACAATGCTCTCTCTTAGAATAAACTCTTCAGAACTTAATATTCTACTGCAGTTTAGAAAGATTATTCTACTGCTGTTAGGGCCAAAAGGAAACTGGAGAAACAATGGTGAATGAAAGCATAACAACTACACATGCAGAGCTAGAGAAATTGGGTCATTCTAACCAAAAACTATCTGTTCAGAAGTTACATATATGCCTTTATGAAATGAAAGCTTATGAATAAGGGAAAATTAGAAAAGAACATCAGAAATATTTTTTAGTTCATAATAACTACCTTGGCTCTCAGTTTGAAAGGCAATGGTTCATGGCCTTAAAAACTCTGGGAGAAAAAAATTATCTATAGTTTACAGTTGCTAGCCTGGAACATCATCCTACCTATTATTCGATAGTTAACTAGAGTTCTCACACAATGTGTAGTCTATAAAATTTCATGAAACTAAGTGAGCCTTAATGCACTGACTTTATAAAAGTTTTTGAAACACTATCCTGCTCTAATCATTCTTGTTTGAAATTTTTCTAAGACACAGATACTTTACCCTGCAAAGCTCTATGACCAGCAAAAGGTGGTCTTCGGGGGCAAACAAGATGTATATCTTAAAAAGACAAGGGAAAATTCATCACAAAAGGAACTTTAGAAGTTCCCTTGTTTCTCAAAAAAATCCAAAAATAACCTGGCATTCTTACCAGTAAACAACATCCAGTGGCGCAAAGTAATTTTTCATTATCAGGTCAGCAAAATAAGCTTCTGTTTCCCGGCAAGCAGTTCCATTTCCAATCACCACTGTACTGCAGCTTTTAGAGATAAACAGAATAAGAAACTGAATTTCAAGGCATACTTTTGAAATCAACCACAGAAAATGTATAAAATGCACAAATACTATCATACTATGTTCTTAAGCTCTCACATATTCAAAAAAGCTGTCCACTGTTTGAGACGGAAAACACAGATTTAGGGAGAATAAAAGATGTACTGCCCCTACATTACAAATAGGAAGAACTGGCTCGGTGCCTGTGGCTCAAGTGGCTAAGGCGTCAGCAACATACACCTAAGGTGGCGGGTTCGAATCCCCAGCCCGGGCCCGCCAAACAACGATGGCTGCAACCAAAAAAAAAAATGGCCGGGCGTTGTGGCGGGCGCCTGTGGTCCCAGCTACTTGGGAGGCTGAGGCAGGAGACTCGCTTAAGCCCAGGAGTTGGAGGTTGCTGTGAGCTGTGATGCCATAGCACTCTACCCAGGGGGATACCTTGAGGCTCTGTCTAAAAAAAATAGGAAGAACTTAAGAAATATTTTATTTTTATGCTGTCTCAAGGAGAGTCAGCTTTCTTCCCATCCAGAAGGAACCAAAACTAGACATGAGTAAGTAAACTCTGGAGCTTTCTAAGCACATTAAAGACTCTATAACTGAATTTTATATGTTGTCAATATCTGAAGCTTCCAACTATACTATACCCATTCTTTAGATCCATAAGAAAGAGAAGAAAGAAGGGAAGGGAGGAAAAGAGGCAAGGGAGAAGGGAAAATGGGAGAAAAAGGAAGAAAAGGGAGGGAGGTGGGAACCCAAACAGAAGAATGAAATGCTCACATTTGCCCATATAACCATCTTTATTTGTAAAGGGGGCAAAGAGAATAGCAATTCTCCAGAGTCTCCACACATGGCATTCTCCAGCAATTTGCCCTCACATCACTTTCCGCAATTCCTTCCCTTAATCCCTCCCTCCAAATTAGGGGTTTCAAAGGTAACTTGAGCTGAGGCAATGAAATATTTAAAAGATCGCTTATTTTCATACTTGTAATCCAGCAAAAGCTTCTTTATTTTCTCTGCCTCTCGGAAACCTTGTCCACAATGCAAGTAAACCACATCAGTATGAAGTATTTGACCTTTAAAAAAGAAAGAATAAGCCATTTCATAAAAATATTGCACAAAGTAACATACTAATAATTTGATAAACTAAGTTGTAACAGAAAAGGGCACAGGCTTTCTAAAAGTGCCCTTGCAGTCTGAATCATTGCACACCAAAATATTTTTACTTATAAAATCTCAAGAATTCTATTTTGCTACACAAAACCATTATTAACTGGATAATATCCCATGATATCTAGAACGGAAATAGTTTTCAGTTAACATCTACCATTAATAATAGTAAAAGCAACCATTTACTGAATATTTACTATTGTCTTATTCTATTTCTTCTTTTGAGTTTAAATTTATTTACCTTGTATAATTCTTAGAGCAGTATATTTAAAAAATATAAGCTTTTCTGAATTATACTACCCAGAAAATATTTTACTGCTAATGAAAAAGATTTTTTAGAATGTGAGGGTAACTGCTTAAAGAATAAAATGAGTTAAGATCACTACTTAAGGCTCGGCACCTGTGGCTCAAGTGGCTAAGGTGCCAGCCACATACACCTAAGGTGGTGGGTTCGAATCCAGCCCAGGCCCACCAAACAACAATAATGGCTGCAACCAAAAAAAAAAAAATAGCCGGGCATTGTGGCGGGCACCTGTGGTCCCAGCTACTTGGGAGGCTAAGGTAGGAGACTCTCTTGAGCCCAGGATTTGGAGGTTGCTGTGAGCAGTGAAGCCATAGCACTCTACCCAGGGAGACAGCCTGAGGCTCTGTCTCAAAAAGAAAAAAAAAATCACAACTTAAGAAGTTAGGGAGGCGGTGCCCTGTAGCTCAGTAGATAGGACGCCACCCATATACACTGAGGCTGGCAGGTTTGAACCAACCTACGGCCAGCTAAAACAATAAAAACTGCAACAACAACAACAGAAAAAAAAACAACTGGGCAGTGGTGCATGTAGTCCTAGCTACTTGGGAGGCTGAGGCAAGAGAATCACTTAAGCCCAAGAATTTGAGGTTGCTGTGTGACGCCACAGTCCTCTACCCAAGGGCGACAGCTTGAGACTATCTAAAGAAAAAAAAAAAAAAGCAATTAGGGAAAGAACAACAGAATAATTCCAAAGAAAATAGAAGGTAGGAAATGATAAAAGCAGAAATTAAAGAAGAAAAAAAGGTACAAAAGAAAGGACTGACATGGTTTAAAAGAACTTATAGGAAAAATACATACTTTTAGCAAACCAAGCAAGAAAAAGAAAAGACAGAAGACATAAATACTCCAATATTAAAAATGCAAATAGGATACAACTAGGGATTGGGCAAAGATAAAACAATACAGAAAGACTATTATGAACAATTCTATGTTAATTGAGATTAAATAATAAAATGGATAAATTCCTGCAAAGAAAACTTACCAAAATAGACTGAGGACATGTGTATGAATGTAAAATTTTAAAAAGAATGTATCCTATATAACAACTGAAAACTGACCCATCAACATATCTAGAAGAAAGTTTCCTGGCCAAATTCAGTTTAGTTTAAGGAAAGTAAGTACGATTAGACATTCTTTAAAAATCTAATTCATCGGCTCGGAGCCTGTGGCTCAAGCGGCAAAGGCACCAGCCACATACACCTAAGGTGGCAGGTTCGAATCCCCAGCCCGGGCCTGCCAAACAACAATCATGGCTGCAACTAAAAAATGGCCGGGCGTTTTGGCGGGCGCCTGTGGTCCCAGCTACTTGGGAGGCTGAGGCAGGAGACTCGCTTGAGCCCAGAAGTTGGAGGTTGCTGTGAGCTGTGATGCCATGGCACTCTACGCAGGGGGATAGCTTGAGGCTCTGTCTCAAAAAAAAAAAAAAAAAAAATCTAATTCATCATAATAACGCAGAGAAGGATAAAAGCCATATGATACCTCAGACAAAGGGAAAATCATTGATAAAATATACTTCCCATTTACTGTAAAAATAAATAGCATTAAAAAAAAAATTAAGGTAATGAAACCAAAAACCCATAGCTATATCTAACATGAGCCTCCTGTGGAAGGAAGCAGAATGGAGTATCTCACAGACCTCCCGGAAAATCTCCAAAATGTTAAAAAGTAACTAAAGGTAAACACAATAGTCCGTTTGATAACAGGAGCTGAATAAATCTGAGAGAGATATAGCATAAAGGCTCCCCACTAAAAGTTAGAAAGGATTGGAAAACTATGATCTCTGAAAGCTCTTGAAATTAGCCAGCAGAAAATCCCTTTCAAGACAAAAATCCCACAATGAAGAGAAACATCTGGGAAAGACATCCAAATAGAGCTAAGTAAGGATATGTAAGAGCAAAGGAAAAAGAAAGCCCAGATAAAGAAAAGCAACAGAAAAGCAGATTCCAGAATATGAGACTACTTCTCTAGTCACACGTGTTTTTCTTAATAATTTGGGAAAAAAAGGAAAAATTCTAAAGCTAGAAAAAAAGCTAGAAGCTAGCTAGAATAAAAGCTAGAAAACCTTTCCTGATGCAGGCTCTTCTTCTACTATTTCCACAAAAGACAGAAAAATTAGGTGAGTGTAATGATGCACACCTATAGTCCCAGCTCCTTAGGATGCTGAGGTAGGAGGACCACTAGAGTCTGTGAGTTTGAGGCTGCAGTAAGATATCATGACACCACTGTACTCTAGCCTGGGCAACAGAATGAGACCTTATCTCAAAAATTAATAAATAGGCTCGGTGCCTATAGCTCAACCAGCTAAGGCGCCAGCCACGTACACCTAAGGTGGCGGGTTCGAATCCCCAGCCCGGACCCGCCAAACAACAATGAAGGCTGCAACCAAAAAATAGCCGGG